TTCTGCAATAATATACTGTTGGATATGTGTGTTAACGGCGGCTATGAAGCAACTCTTACTGTACTTATTATAATGAAGCATAGTGATTGGTCAATTTGCTATCACGTGAGATTAACATGTTTCCGTCACACTGTTACACTGTGAACTGTGAATATAGATGCTGGAAGAATGTGAAATGTTCTCGCGTTGACGTCATTTTACCTTTGGACTGGAGATACATGCCATTTGACTCAAATGTCGTTCAGTTTAAAGTAGCTCGGAAATATATATAATTATTTTTTGTTTACTCCAGCGTTAGATTTAGTCGTCGCGTTGTGGGTCCCGCGCGACATATACAACGCGTGTAATGTACATCGCTGTTTACGTTATAACATGCGGTACACGTCGACCACATTTAATGACCATGGCGTGCTTTTATGCATTAAACTCAGAGTTTATACGGTGGACTAACGTTTGAAACGTTATCAGTCAATTATTCAAAGCTGGTCAAACATTTTGACAGGAAAGGGCGCTAAAAATATGTTGCCGCCTGCAGAGGTCTGATCGATGTCTGGCGTACTATGAACTGAATTAATCCTGTATCAACGTGTGGATACTGTATACTGACAGGAAAGACAATCAAAAATCGATATTCAGATTCAGATATACATACACTATGTTTGCGTAGTCAGAAATATTATAACACGTTTTTTGTTGATACACAATGAGTGGTTTATAAAGTAAATCAATATCAACCTCGTCTTATGCGTTGTGTAGTTTTATGGAGATGAAATACTCTGTCTAAAATCGATGAATGAGGGATGAAATATTGTACTGGTCGATTCATTTATATTTTTACAATATTAAGATTCTTATGTAATGCGTTACTGACGTTTCGCTGCGCACTTATTCGATATGGGTTGTATGTTTAGACAAATTTCGAACGCGCTGCGTGAATGCGGTTTACGGTTCTTCGGTGTACTTGTAACGGCAGTCTCGCATATAATTACCGCTGTTGTGTATGTTTAACGAGTGTACTAAGGAGGTGTAAATACATGATATTTTAGACACGGCTAGGGGTACCGATAAATTTGCAGCTTCTTGTCAGTAATCGATATTGCGAAATTTATATTTAAAAAATGTGAATAGGCATTAGGTTTCAAAATGCAACTAACAACTACTCAACAGGTAGGCATTATGTATGACCAACTCCCCCCCTGGAAGGTCACATATTATTCAAGTTTTACCCAGTAGAATTAATCACTGCCTCTTATAACAACAATGACACGTATTATACCTAAAGTTTAACATTATGTGCGTGTTTTTATTAAATGGAGAAAAAAATGACAAAAATCATTGTGAATTTACTCTCTAATGTACCCGGATGTGTGACTTGGTGGGTACGAAGGTCATCGGTTAAATATAAAATGGGCGACGCACTTGATGTTTGAACAATACCCATTATCTACGGCATTTGTTGATCGAGTTGATAGCAACATGACAATGAGACAACTTGGCATTGTTGTGGCAACGAACGAACCCCCAACAATTACTTTAATCTTAGTGGCTGTTTCAAATGCTTCAAACGATCGGCTTTAACTTCAACTTTATCAAACTGATCGTCCTACACAAAAGCTCATTATTTTCAACCCCAAACCGGTCAGAGTTATATATTACAGTCATACGAATCATCGCCGTATTGATGGAAACGGGACTCTTGATTCACGCCGCAGCCCACCATATCAGCTTGGTCATTCGTATTACCGTGGTAGCAGTGGATCATGTTGTGACGAATCATACTGTAAATACTTTATTTTAGCTGGAATTAATTTTCGCTGTTTTCACTGATGTTTGAAAAAAAAGTATATTCGCTGGATTTTATTTTCACTGAATCATTCTTTCAACGAAAGTAGAGAAAATTAATTCCAAGCGAAAATAAAGTATTCCACAGTATAAGGTAGTCAGTAGAAACGCTCTGTCTGATTCACATCACGTCTCCAGCGTGCTATTCATATGTAAAACGATTCATCTTCAGTACACTGAGCCCATTGTGTTCGTCATGGTTACTCGTTTCACGGTTCCCATAATCACTCTTTTCCAACCACGCAAATAACTATGCACGCACTGTACAATCGATTTAGTGGGGTTTTTCATACTCAAGTGCGGCTTTCAATAGCAATGAATGCCTGACCCATGACTGTAATCTGAAGGAGAAGTTTTATTAAAACACCCTCATCTGAATATATCGTACGATGACGTACCAGTTAGGGCATGTTGCTAACCGCCTTAGTGGTAAACAAACCACAGTCAACGCTTATCACCCTCTCCCTGTCACAAGCATGACAGAACAAATCAAATCAACAAGTTGGGTGTTAATTAATTCACGATACAAATCCCGTGAAATAATTGTCTATAGTTAATTGTAATATTGTCTTTATACTCTTTGACAGATAACACAGAATTAATGTGTTCTGGGTACCGTGAACACGGGTAATGTGAGCAAACAGATACGGTAATGACGAATCCGTCTGCAGGAGGGCATGGGTAAAAAGAAAAACATTGTTGTATCACGATTCCAAAGGAATTATTGTAACACTGTTTTCTCAAAGACCCTGTGTGGGTTGTAAAATGATAATTTGATCACACCGGGTCATCGCACTCTTCGTATATATTATTTTATTACCAAATGATATAGTAGTCTAATTTATTGGCTACGACATTATATAGTCAGCCGTCCGTGCCCTTGGAAATGTCATGCCCGAGTCGTTAAACACTAAACCAAACTGATTCTGTATTCTCTATAATTTATATTCACGACACAACTGGAATTGAAAACACTACAAGCGAGAACACTGAACACTCGCCTGTCTCTCAAAATACGTCGATTGAATTATTCCAATGTTCCATATGATAATTAGATAATATGTGTAAATGTGATAAGCCTGATTCAACAGGTGGTTATGTCACAGTGTGAACGCGACATTAGATCAATAGTAACCATGACAATATTCGTTAACACATTACGCCATGTTGAATTTTCATAAATTTAAACGATGGGTTGTACGTCTTCTGCTCACTGTGCGTTTGACTTCCGTCGTCATGGTAACGTGCTAGACTGCTGTAACTGGCAGTACATGTACACAATATAACACGGTGACACATAAATAGGTGCGCCTTCGCATATTTAATTCATCACTTCACACGTCGTTTTTTTTTTACTTTAACATCGTAGTGGGCATTTCAAGGACACATATTATAATGTACGGTACGTAGATTGGCGAACTCGATGAGCAGATGACATGTATAAACGTTGCTCCTTCAGTCGCAAATCATAATGTACACGCGGTGACCACCCAGCGAATATAAACAAGAGAAGTCAAGTTCAACTGAAAGCAAAAATAAATATTCAACATGTACGTCACGGTTCCAACTAGAATTAAAACGCTTAGTCAAGTTTGTGTCATGTTTGAATGCAGACATCGAAAAACGATACCTGATTTCCAATACAATACCTCATTGAACTTCAAGTGCAATGATTAAATTAGGGGATAACGAGTCAAAATGAAAAAAATATGAACATTAATATTTGGATTTATTATTAAGAATAAAATTTCGCATTTGAGTATAAGAATAAAAGTTCCTTAGGGCCTCCTCGGCCATAACTATAATCGTAACCCTGCCCTTCCAGTACCCCTCCTCTATTTTAATTGTACACATGTATATATTCCTCGTTCAGTCACTTGGAAGCATTATGAATTACATTTGGGGTGAAGTGTTAGGGTTTAGGTTAGGGGTAATGTGCCTTAAGAGACTCATTCCAATAATGTTTAATATTCCCCCTGTAGTTATCACTGATATTGCGTGTACATCTCGATTTATGGGAGTAAAATTGTGTTATATTGAGAACAAAACCGAGCACATAGAACATGGATATAGCAGGCGAAAAATGTACTGGGATCGCCGGGAAAACACACTCGAGTATTGATATTAAATTCGCAAGCAATTGCCTCTGTACAGTAGTTAATGTTGATGACACCAGTATTGAACTACCTCTGACCTCGAATGAAAGTTTTGTAATTGAAATCTACGGCATTGCACGGACTAATCAAGAAATCCGTCTGAGTTGCTATAACGCAAATATCGGTATTCAATTCAATTGAAAACAAAAAGAAATAATGGCGAGGTAAAAGCGGTTGTTCAAGTTATTTTTCACAATATTGACAGTTGCTAAGACGGACGTAACAATGAGCCACTCTTGAAAGGAAAGACTGCCATAAAAGTGGGGAGGTGAATACTCGTTTCAACATGCTAAAATTTGAATAGCCTTGCTCTGACATGTGTCAGTACATGGCGTGCCGATACGCATCACGTGACCAAGCGCGGACCAATGACAGCGGATGATGATACGGTTACCCGTAGAAACCAGGGCTCCTGTCACCTTATATAGCCGACATTTTGCTGTGTTGGTTCACAACCAGGCTTACGACTCCGACACACACACGGTTACCGTAAGACTCTAACATTTTGCAACCAGTTTTTTTAAGGTTTGTGACAGGAACTAAATAGTCAACATGGTAAGCACATTTCATGTATATTCGATATGGCGATTATATATTCAAATAATGTCGAATTTCTTTCATTTTTCGTGTAACGTCAGTTTTTTTCCCAACACAATGCCTGCTTTGGGATACGTTTAAAAAATACCCCAACCACCTCTCGCGGATCGGATAACGCCTTCTATAAAGCACCTCACAAAATGGCGTTCTTGTGAAGTTGGCATTTCATTCTAACATTTCTCCGTCTTTTCGCCAATAGAGGGAATGTATTTCTATCCACGTTGGACAAGCTGGAGTACAGATCGGCAACGCCTGCTGGGAGTTGTACTGTCTTGAGCACGGTATCCAGCCTGATGGCCAGATGCCAAGTGACAAAACCATCGGAGGTGGTGACGACTCCTTCAATACCTTCTTCAGCGAGACCGGAGCTGGCAAACACGTTCCCCGTGCCGTGTTCGTCGACTTGGAACCAACTGTCATCGGTAAGTTACAATGAAATAACTTGTCGTGACGTGTTTTTTAATCTACAAGTCGTCGAAAGGTTATTTGTAATTCAAGATATTTATGAATGTAACTGACCAAAACTCCTTTTTTTTTCAACAGATGAAGTCCGTACCGGAACATACCGTCAACTTTTCCACCCAGAACAGTTGATTACCGGTAAGGAAGATGCCGCCAACAACTATGCCCGTGGTCACTACACCATTGGAAAAGAAATCATCGACTTGGTTTTGGACAGAGTACGAAAATTGGTGAGTTTGAAATCTTGATTTTTTTAAAAATAGCACATGTATAAACCAAACGTGAATGCATTTTCGACCACGGTCGTCGGTACATCAGCTATCGAGCAACCTTAAGAACAGGTCGTCATGTAACTGCCACCGATAAAGCTAACCGTTACTGCGTGTGGAAATTCAAATTTGATAGCCGGTAGGGGAGTCTATACAAATTTGCAATGCAATGTCTACGTTTGAATAGCTGGAGCGGGACGGTGTTGTTATTATCGCCAATAGAAACGAACAAAGCACACACTGTCTTTTATGCAAATAAGTCTTGATATGTCTGAAGGCGTTCACTGAAGTGAAGTACCTAATGAATTGCATTGTGAACCTCAATGAATTTATGCTTGCCGTTCACGTCGTTAAAACACACCCATAAACACAACATCGCCTGATCGAAGGGTCAGTTGCAAGGGTCGATAGGTTAAAATGAAATATCTCCGTTCTGTTGAATCGTTCGTAAATACACTCTGTATTAACCGTATTTCTTGTCGTTTGCGCGTATTTGTTTGAGCCTAGCGATAAGCGATAACAGAGTGTATAAAGGTAACTATTTCTCGATGGGCGTAACCAAGAACGGGGGCGTTAGGTTATACAAGATTTTGTTAACGGTGGAACACAATACTCCAACAAAGCCAGCAACAACAGCAAATATCTCAATAAGCGCATTTACAATGGCCACTGTTACGAGGGCGTGGGAACTGTCTCCATGACATAAAACATAGTCCACAACACTGGTTCGTACGCTGTACTGTGACACTAGCTCCATGGTTGTACCTACTAACTTACACGTTGCGTTTGAGGGTAAATTTAATTAAATATATTTTCGTTTTATTTTTTTTAGGCTGACCAATGTACCGGTCTTCAAGGTTTCCTCATCTTCCACAGCTTTGGTGGTGGCACCGGATCTGGTTTCGCTTCACTGTTGATGGAACGTCTCTCCGTCGATTATGGAAAGAAATCCAAGCTGGAGTTCGCCATCTACCCAGCCCCACAAGTCTCCACCGCCGTCGTCGAACCATACAACTCCATCCTGACCACCCATACCACCCTGGAACACTCTGACTGTGCTTTCATGGTTGACAACGAAGCTATCTACGATATCTGTCGCCGTAACCTCGACATCGAACGTCCAACCTACACCAACTTGAACCGTCTTATTGGTCAAATCGTATCCTCCATCACCGCATCTCTTCGCTTCGATGGTGCCCTCAACGTCGACTTGACCGAGTTCCAGACCAACTTGGTACCCTACCCACGTATCCACTTCCCCCTGGCCACATACGCCCCAGTCATCTCTGCCGAGAAAGCCTACCACGAGCAATTGTCTGTCGCTGAGATCACCAATGCCTGTTTCGAGCCAGCCAACCAGATGGTGAAATGCGACCCACGTCACGGCAAATACATGGCCTGCTGCATGTTGTACCGTGGTGATGTTGTACCAAAGGACGTCAACGCCGCCATCGCTACCATCAAGACCAAGCGTACCATCCAGTTTGTCGATTGGTGTCCAACTGGTTTCAAGGTCGGTATCAACTACCAACCACCAACCGTTGTTCCCGGTGGCGATTTGGCTAAGGTACAGCGTGCCGTCTGCATGTTGAGCAACACCACCGCCATCGCTGAGGCCTGGGCTCGTCTCGACCACAAGTTCGACTTGATGTACGCCAAGCGTGCTTTCGTCCACTGGTACGTCGGAGAAGGTATGGAGGAGGGTGAATTCTCTGAGGCTCGTGAGGATTTGGCAGCTTTGGAGAAGGATTACGAAGAGGTCGGTGTCGACTCCGTTGAAGGCGAAGGCGAGGAAGAAGGTGAAGAATATTAAACTGTACAAACATTTGAACCACGTCACGAATTGTCATGGTAACAACAACAACCAACACAAAGTGAATTTCCCGTAAGATCTGTACAATGTGTAAATGTAAAATATCGTCTGGGACGATATATTGTAAATAATGAGAAGATAAAACAAATTTCTTTGAAATACAGTTATTGGTTTCATGGTGATGTTTGTATGAGTGGTTGTATGCATATGTGATAATCTGAAAATAAGTGCGAGCATTCAATGGCAATACACTATAAAATCCACATATATATATTAACTGATTCTCTTCCGTAACACCACCTGTAACTTAGTATGAGCGCCCTCCCATATTCGCCATTGTCTTTGGTATGCGTATCTCTCCATGAAAATGTCAATGCGGGTAGTGAATGAGACCTATGTTTACAAGTGCGCCCTCAACTGTTCGAAACTATCAGTTCGTCCACAAATTATTCAGTCCATGAACGAATTTCTTTTCTTAGAATTTGTAGATAGTATGTGTCGTCTCATTACTCATAAATGTTAATTTGTCAGGTGGGTTGTCAAACGTGGTTAGGTATCTGTCAGGAATTTTACCCAAAACTACATGGTAGTCTTTAAATCTCACATGCTGTGATCGCCTCAGGCAATATTTATCGCCACTTTTCAACAAATACGCAGCAGTTAATAACAATAATTTCCAATGATAGGTATCGACAATCCTGAGAGACTGTGTACGTACATGTATTTAATTCTGCAAAACAATTCATGGCGTGTTTTCTTCGCTAGCATGTTATTTTGTGGCTAATTTGAAAGTTTCAGATTGTTGACATTTTAGCTAGATCGAAATTCTGATAATTTGTTCATTGAGTAAAATTGGATAAAATGGCAAGTGGCTATTTCAACGTGTTTTATATAGTATCTAATTACTATAATATATTGATTGGTGGCGCCCTACACCGCCAAACGAGTATAATACCATTACTTTCCTATCTCTAGTTTAGCGCTTCTATGCTCCATTTGGTGCAGTTCAATACCTCTCGGCGTTTTAAACAAACATTCAATTCAATTCTAAACAAAAATTATGTTCAAAAATTATATGCTAATTGTTTCAATGTACTATTTTTCCTTTCGAGTGACCTTACCGAATTTCTAGATTCAACGTCGAGGGCGATCGTTTCTCCACTAAATTCTTTCATGACACTTTAACAACTTGACTGTCTTTAAATACGTCTGTATTCCTTTAAATACACCGATGTCAGATTATTTATAAAAAACTTGTCAGTGGGTGAGAAAATGGAGATATTTACATTTCAAAGGTGATATAAAAATGAAAAAGAATGGTTAGATGAGCATATTCTCCATGTTTTATACTGTCTAGCCAAAGTAGTATATGCCTTGTATAACACGTATACATGAACTAATCGAATAAGAGGTGTATATAGACTTCATTGTTTAAAATACACACGACGTCGTGTGAATTAAACAGTTCCAACTTGTTCAGTTGGTCTAAATTGCAAATTATTTAATACATGCCACTACTGCAATTCATATATATTTATACATTACAATTTTAAGAGCTATGTTTTCTAGTTAAAATACCTTACACGTCACCGATACCAAGATTCATTCAGACCAACAATAAACTTTAAGAATTTAATGAAGTCCGAGAAAGAATAAAATCGAAACAGAAGAATTTATATAAAGAGGACGCAAGCAAACCCGATGCGCCGTCAGATAATGAGATAGCAGTCCCAGGGAATTTTGGACAAGTCGATACACAGTGTCCCAAATCTCTAATAAATACACTGCAATTATCAAACACCGTACCGTACAAAACACAGAAATATGTGTTGGGGTTACGCGATTTTTTCTGCACGTCAGACGAATTTATGCACTGGAAACTCCTTTCCCATGAAACGTTACAAGTACTCAGATTGCTATGTGTAATATGTATCAACCCTCAAATCAACTTATTTCTCGGAAGACGATGTTCATTCTACTTAGCCACTAATACACACGAAACGCTCGAACTCAGGCTATGAGAAGTGCTTTCGACATCGACTTACAATGAAGTATATATATATATATATATTCTGTTATTTTGCTAAATTTTAGTTTCTAATTTCTAAAGCTATTTATTTATCAATTATTTTGGGTACATAAGATTCAATTATTTTTCATGTTTTCTCAATGGGATCAGATATTTGACTAGTACCGCTGAACTACCCCCTCAGTCCCCATCATCCAACCACCTTTTTTGTATCAAATGTCCTAATAACGTGAAATGAATACATTTACAATTTCTAGGTATCAATACAGCATATTCTTTGATAAAGAGATGATACTCATATCAACTTTCTCACCGAAAATGCTTATCACATTAGTTATTAAAATGTAGAACATGTTTGAATGATGCAGATCATGGGTTTTCGCAACATTCAAAGTTGTCAATGCCTATTTCACAAATTCATAAACACAATACCAAGAAATTTCCTGGTATTCTAACATCGGACGAAATATGTGTTAAGTCGTCATCCACTTAATTTGAGTCATTAGTCATCTCAATCTACGTCATGTGTGTCGACAACTGTCAGCTCATAAGGCCACACTGATTTAATTTTATGGATGACATCCTCTGAAGACCCCAAAACTAATGCTAGAGGGCGAAACAAAAACAAATCCTTCAAAAAAAAAATGCTGCTAAAACCACAGGACTACGGAGCTGGCATTACGAATTGAACCACAGAACACAGTGTATCAAAAAAACAACAAGAAGTCTTTATTTTGTATGTGGGACATTTTGATGTACGTATAGCTGTGTAAACATCACGTCTCCCTGGCCGACGTCAATTGCGTACCAGTCTACAACAATCCCTCCGTTTTTCCTCTGAACTTTTATGCGCACGTATTTTGGTGGCGTGGTCGCCATGTTGGAATTCCCCAGCAACGCAATACGCATGTGCAGAAGATCATTTACGACAAAACTGGCACGTTTTGAGGTAGTTCAAAACGAGTTTTACGACAAGCCGGCGCTTTGCGACAATATGAGTCGGCAAGTTCCGGACAGAAAACCGATCTGTGGAGACTCGTCGTCGGAGATTTTTTTTTGAGAACAGGCGAAAACTAATGCGCGCGCGGACGTCATCCATATAAGTCGATGTGGCTTAAGTATAAATTGGGGGTAAAATCATCGCGACGGGTTTGCATGCACCAAAGCGACGTAGAATATACGTTATCGGTCCACCATAGTCTTTTGATAAGAATTATAAGATGTATATAAAAAAAGATAAGAATTAGGTTGTCGAAATATACGAGAAATAATCCATCGAATTCATTCGAGTTTATGTACTTATTTAACAACGTCTTA